CGAGGCTGCGCGGGGCGGGCTCAGCGCTGCCAGGGCCGCGCGTTCTCCGGCCGGGGCGCTGACGGCCGCCTCCGCCGCGCCGTTACTCAGCACAGCCGGCGTCCGCACGCCCCGCCGACCCGGGGTGTCCTGTCCGCACACCCTGTCTCCCGGCGGTCGGGAGAGCGCGGGGCCGCCGAGCGGAGCGCCAGGTGCAGGTAGGGGCTGTCCTCCCCCGGGCGGTGTCCGGGTGACCCGCTGCCGCCGTGTGTGGGCGAGTTATTTCCTCCTCGCGGGTCCGTCCGCGTCTCTCCCCGGCTCGGACCCACGGCCCGTCCGCGCCGCCGGCGCAGGCGTGTGGCGGCCCCCGGGGCGAGCGGAAAGGCCCGCGGCAGGCACCGGCGTTCGYTCACAGGGGATTGCGGTGGGGCTTTGGTCTCCGGCACGAACCGGGCGGGGAGCTACCGGCCTCGGCCATCCTCCCGCGACCCTGTCTCGCTGGGGTCGGGGGTCTCTGCGGGTGTCGCCTGCCTCTGGGGGCCCGGGCTCTGTGGGTGATCTGTCCCGGCRCTCCCGTCTCCCTGGTCTTAACCTGGGCTCCTTTGTTGGAAATGGGCGCCCTGACTTGTGACACGCTTGTTGAAGTCTGGCTTTTCGCAGCTCCAAACAGTGCCTTTGAGTCACTGCTGTGGACTTCGGAACCTTTCTCAGATGCAGACACCTGAGGAGTTAATTTAGTTCCCGCCAGCCTGGTTAAATGCATTCCTTCAGCTTCTGCTCTTGAGGTGACGCTGGCCTCAACATTGCTCTCAGGTATTATTAATTTCAAAATTTAAAGTATTTGCTTAGAAATGAGCTAGGAAAGTTCACGACTGCGGAAATTAGAATAGAGCCACCTGAACGCAGAGCGTTATTAAGGGCGGAGCGCCGTGTTGTTGGCCGGCCGGCCTGCGCGGTGAGGCACCGGGCTSAGGCAGCTGAAACACGGCGGGGCTTCAGCCGGCCAGCGGGCCCGTGGTTCTAGCCGAGCAGAGCCGGGGTGCAGAGCCTTGCTGGGAGCATGCTAAGCATTATGTAATCGACTTAATCCCGCAGTTGTCTCTCTGAAGCCTTGAGAGGGTTAGTTTGTTCTTCAGGTGATAAGGAATGTCTGGATTTCTAAGCTAGTGTTTCCTGTATTCCCTTTCTTGCCACTGTGCCATTAGGTTTTGATATCTGCAAAGTTACCAACAGAGGACAAATAATATCTCTGTATGCAAGTTAAGACAGATAGAATTTGTGAGACTAGCAGACCTGTTTATTTGTTTCTAATCAAATTAACTAAAGTGAAGTTTTGGCTCCATTAGGCTTCTCTGTTTTCMTGTGGCATGCTTTGTTCTTTGGAAGCTACCTTAAATAGATACTTCACAGTGTTTCTTGGTATAGGTTCTTCATGATTGAATAAATTATTTTGTGGTGTTTTCTGGACTTACTGTGTATTCTTCCTTAATATTCCCTTAATCCTTTTATGTGATRCTTAATCAGACACGTAGTAAGTTCTTTTCACTTAATATTCTGTTGCTTTAAGTATTGAATTAGTTAAAGGATGTTCATGTCCTTCTGTTCAATTTTTAATATAATGCAGATGTTGAAATAAATATGTGTACTTCAGCAGTGGTTTGAACTCAAGTTTTCATTGTGTTCAATGAAAGTGTGAGTAAAAATTCTTTAGAATTTCTTGTTTCAGTAGTATATAATGAAACAACAAACCCACAACCAAAACACACACAAACAGCAATGGAACAAAAAAAMCCCAACAATTAAAATATCTTGCCCGTTACAGTTAGAACAACACTTAAATTTCCAAACCAGCAGCTATTTTTACAAGTTTGACTTTGTTCTTGTGAATAGTCTGTATGAAATARGCAATTTAATTTAAATATGAAATTAGAATAATTTATATTTAATGTAAATATACGATTTCTAGATAAGTGTCTGTGAGGGTTGGGCTGCTTTTGAGACTAATATGTAGTGAAGTACTCAGAGATGTGAATAATAGGTTCCACTTTCTTGTTATGATTTACATAGATAGGAGGACAGGAATAATTGCTTATATKAAAAAAACCTACATTTATGTTACCCTAGGAATCACAAGATAAATACCTGAGGTTTTCTTTAAGATTAAATAAATATTTCCCCCTTTTTCTGTCTGCCTTTATGAGAAGGCTAATTGCAAACAATAAATTGAAATCACTTCTTGTGGGCAATTTTACATTTGTAATTTTATATGTTAGTTCTTAATTCATAAGAGAGTTAAGGAGATAAAGTTGATAAAATGCTCTGACTTTTGTTTTAAAAGCTATCCCAGAAAGGGTAAGTGATAAAACTTGAGTCTATTTTATTTCTTAGCCTCTATTGCTGCAATAGAAGGGTTTTCTGCAGTTTCTTCCACAGAAGTTTTGTACTTCATTCCTGTGAAAATGCAGTATAATTTTAAAGGAGATGTATTTTTATTTATTGTGCTCTTAACATTGTATTTTACTAACAGTAGGAACTCTGTTTGCAGAACAGCACTGGCATTTTTATTACTGCTGAAATGTCAGATGGAAGGTGAGATAGTTGTCTTGTGGGGATGTGTTGATCTCAGACTCTGATGATGCTGTAATAAGCACAGAGATTTACATCATGCATGCTCAGAAGGTGTTATACTACACCTTAGGTATTCACAACATATCTTAGTCAAATGAGTCCCATTAAAGTTACTCATCTGTACTTGTGGAACCATATGCTTAAGGTAATCTGTGGTCAGAGTTGTTTTTACCTCAGCTTCACTAAGAGTCCAGATAAAGCATACACCCAGCCCATTCACACACTCATGTGAATACAATCCATCACAGTGAATGACAAATCAGTTCCAGTATAATAGAAACATTGTTTGCRTTTAGTTGGAACTATTCTCCTGTGTAAGTTCAGTAGGTGTTGTGTGTCAAATTGGTCCAGTTAGTGACCCGCTGTTTTTCTTGGGTATTGTTAGTGAAGAAAGCAGCACATATTTATTTTAAGTTAAAGAATTGTTATTAGCCATGATTTAGTTGGAGAATGACTCTGGAATCAGAATCTTTAGTTTCAGTAGGCATATTTTCCATTGGATGGATTAAAAGATCAATATGTAAAACCTTCATTAGACTAGCACAGGGGAGAAATAATACTTAATCTGTGGTCTTCAGCATATCATTTGCCATATCTGGTGACAGCCCATTTTTAGGACATTTAAGCTATCTTGGGGGACAGTACTACCACATGAGCTGATTAACTGTGGTTTACTGCAGTACTGCCCTGCGTGTGAATCCCACAGGCTRGCTTCCAGTCATCTAAAGTTACTTTGACAAATAGAAAATATTTTCTGATTGAGGTCGTATTTGTTGTATTTCTGGGCTGTTTATACTTACAAATAATGTAAGCACATGTTCTAATTCTTTCTGGCACAAGGATTGGGAAGAAATAAAAAATTCTATAGCTATTGTTGTATGCTGGTATAGAGCGCAATCTGTTGTTCATTTATACCTCACTTTTGGAAGTACATATTTTTAAAGATTTTTCACAAAAAAGTAATAATCATCCACTTAGAATTAAGTGAAATATCTAACTTTGCCTTCAGCTTTTCTGAAAAGGTAGGGAAAACACATGCAGAAGAGATTGATTTAATAATTTCTGATAAAAATAGAAGAGGTTTTGAGTATTGGGTTATAAGTACTTGGAAAAAAGCATGGTGAGGCATCACAGATGTTTCTTTGGACTTGTGTATATGAACTTACTAAGTAGAGGTGAAAGAAGTTTCTTCTTTGGTGCTCATAACTATCAGAGAAATAAAGAAGGAACAAAAGGTCCATTCCAAAACAATAGGGTTTTTACTGTACATAAGACAACCCACACCTTTTGCTAGAAGTYAAACTTCCTCCATAGATTACTTCCTTATCCTGACTTGTGGGTATAAATCAAACTTAATGTTCACATAATCTCATCTGACAGGGATGAKTTATTCAAATTTGAGTGACTAATTATGCTAATTGCATAGATACATGAGGTTATTGTTACTTCAGCTGGGAGGAATATGGTCCTTTATTCAGGATCTTCTTTAAGAGCCTATCCACCTTCTTAGGAGAGCTGATCAGTGCTTCCTGCAATCTCCTCTAAACTGGTAATGTTGATCTCCCATACCTAAGCATCTGTGGCTTCCCTCTGTTTTGTAGGCTAGAGACCTGGGGTGAACACTCCTAGCTGCAGTCGCCTCTTTTTTGTGCCTTCTTTTTTTGTAGTATTCCAAGAATACTCATGCTGTTTGTCASACTGTCTCGCTGTGCCTGTTTATGCTGCTCTAAAAGTGTGCTCCTTGTAACATTGTATGCAGCATGCATCCATACTCTACCATTATAAAGAGACAGTTCACACATCCAAAGTACGGATAGTTGTTTTGTGATCTRTGTTTTTGCATCAATATCCTTGAAGCCTTTTAAAAAAGAAATTTACACATGAATGCTATGCTTCTGTACAAATTAAAGGGTAAGATATGAAATAAAATCTAAATATTGTCAGGTATCATGGTCAGGAGTAAGCTTTTATTGTTGGATGACCCTAATATTTCTGTAACAGCATGGTACTATAGACAACTGGAATCTGCTTGTTTTGTAGCTTGAGTCAAAGCTGGTGTGTGAAAATGTGTAAGTGTTTGTGTTCACAGGGAACTGTCAGGAGATGAGCGTGAGACCTGTAGATAGATTTGGTATGAAAAGGTTGTTAAAATTAAGATGAAATGTCAGATGCCTTAACATAAGGAAAATAGTGTAAATCTTATCTTAGGTGTTCTGTTTTTCAGCAGGGTACTTGTCCAATTATATTGCTTTTCTGTCTCTAAGAAAAGGTATTGCCACAACAAAGGATTTCCCCCCCTTCCCTTCTTCCTGCTCTAAATTAAGAGGACACCATGTCTATTTTAAGGGCACCTGTGTCTTTACCTAGCTTTCTTTAGATGTAGGTGTGGTTTKTTTTTTTTTTTCTCCCCCCACTCTTAAAGCCAATGCTTTTAATTGGAGCTACAGATCATATTCTGTTAACAAATATCTGTGATAAAGCATTTAATTCAGGATATTTTTCTTAAAGCATGAAAAGACTCTGCAGCTGGGTCGTTAATACAAACCCAATTCCTATGTGCAGTACAGCTAAGAATTTCTTTGAAGGCTTCGGAAATATTTATGTCAGCAAGTATGTGGTGCAAAGATAAGTTTATGGCTACATTTTAGTGCACGAAAGCTCTATGGTGTTTGCTAAGCCAGAAGCATCATCTTGTTTTGTCTTCTAAGTTTTGAACCTCACACACCGTTCATACTTCTGATAGTGCTTGCAGAGGCCCTTACCTCATGATTGCAACACATATGCTCTGTATTTAGGAAATTTTGCAGTGATTTTGGCTGCAGAAATCTGCATGCCCTTAGTATACTKCAACTCTGCAGCATATTTTAATTGTTCTTTATAACATACATATTTATCAATGGGAAGAACTCTTTCCTTAATGTCTTAACATGAGGAACTTCATTTCCTCCAAAGAAACTCCAAAACTAATGCTTATTTTTTCCCTGGGTAGTCATGTTTTACTTTTGATAGCTGTCAGGGCTTTAGAGTGATCCTCTTTAATCATATTGTGAAGTAACTAATAATATAAAATTAGATATTATATGGAAATACACATATATGTACTTAAATATGTATTTTGTTAAAGTTAAAAAATTATGCATTATTTTCTAGAGGTATTGCATTTACATTTTGAGTTGGATTATTTTTAATATAGGATTGTACCTGGAAACTGATACCATTGTCTCTTCCTGTTTCAGACTAGAAGATGAATAATCTTTCCTTTAGCGAGCTGTGTTGCCTGTTCTGTTGTCCACCATGCCCAGGGAAAATTGCCTCCAAGCTGGCATTCTTACCTCCTGATCCCACATACACACTGATGTGTGATGAGAGTGGTAGTCGCTGGACTTTACATCTGTCAGAGCGAGCAGACTGGCAATACTCTTCTAGAGAAAAAGATGCCATTGAGTGCTTCATGACTAGAACATGYAAAGGCAACAGGATTGCCTGCATGTTCGTGCGTTGCTCACCRAACGCCAAGTACACTTTGCTCTTCTCACATGGAAATGCTGTTGACCTGGGTCAGATGAGCAGCTTTTATATAGGACTGGGTTCACGGATTAATTGCAACATATTCTCGTATGATTATTCCGGATATGGTGCAAGTTCTGGAAAGCCAACAGAAAAGAATCTGTATGCCGACATTGATGCTGCTTGGGTGGCTCTTAGAACGAGGTAAGACATTAGTTGCCATTTTTATTTACCATATGCTTGACAAATGGTTTTATTTTTTGTGCATTGGTAGTTTAAACAGCAGTGCTGTATTTTAGAATTAGAAGCTGACTGGTCGTGCCTTGTGCTGAAGGCATTGTCAGTATTAAGCGGGATCAATGTATAGTACTTACATACTGGAAAAATTGAAATAGATTTAAATTTAGTAAGCTGTGGTTTAGTCGTKGATGATTACAGAATAATCCCTATTGTTAAAATTTGGAATCTTCTCAGCTGCAAAAATTCAAAAGTTGGAAAAGATCTGTAATTGATTTTTCAGTAACTGACACACTGTTATGATGTGGATGTGAGAAAACGCAGGCTATTTCTTCAKATAATTTCCATCACCTTCTTTTTTTGTAGGGAGGGGCAGAGTAAAAGCTGGTACAAGAAAACTTGGTGAAACACTGTATTTCTATGTGGTGTTGAGATCACCTTTGTTTCAGAATTTCCACTAGCAACTACAGTATTTCCAAAGAGAAAAACWTTTTTTTTTTTTAATATAGAAAATTATCTTCACAAAATATAATGTTTGGGAGAGGTTGTGATGGATCTGTATAAATACACTTTGGGAAAAGAAARGAGGAATTTGGAGCAGTGATGTTAACTCACCAGAATAAAAGTAGAACAAAAATGGACAAGAAAAAAATGCGAATGAAAGAATGTTGCTTCATCAGTTTCTGGGTATGCCTCTGGGTTTGTGGGAGACAAAATAGTAAAATGAAAGGCTCTGGATGCATTCACTGAAACTATACCAAATGAGTGCAGCTTCTCTATTTTGAGAGTGTTTTTCACCATAATTTGTTCCATTTAGATCAATATTCTTCTCATGTTACAAATACCCAAACTACAAAAACTATTTTATAAAATAGTGTGCAATTGTAAGAATAGTTGCTCACCAAAAAAATTATCATTGTGTATTTTACACCAAAAAGTTGTAAAAACAGGAAGGGTCTTGTTATGGCTTGATGGTTGCAACTTGAGCATCCTGTTTAATAATGATAGTATTAGGGATATGATAGTGTAAGAACATGTAGACTCTAAATCCTGGAGCCTGTTAGTTGTCACAGTGAGTTTAGAACTTCTTCAATGTAGAATAAATGAGTGGATTATCCCTTTTCAGTGTTTTAAATACATGCGCTGTATTGCATTTCTTTTACATTATAACAGCAATATGATTCTGCTTTTCAAAGAGGCATATTTTATTCATGTWTTAAGGCAGGGAAAAGCTTATTATCATAAACCTCATTCAACCACAGGGGACAGGTTTTCAGCCCCATCTAGTCAAAACATGTATACTATGTTGTTAGATTAACTTTTGATGTTTATTTTTATTACAGTGGAAAGTTGAGATATGACTGTTTCATAAGCCAACAGCTGAAAAAGGTACACGGTTGACTATGGTTTGTACCTGGTACATAACCTGGAAGTTAGCTGCTTGGTGAAATAGTCAGTAACATTTACCTAAAGTCTGATGTGGTTTGTGGACAATGTGGAAGACAGTCTTGAATTATTTAGATGTAACAGAAAATGGAAGAGAACTAGAAGGTGAAACCTGATACTTTATGTCAGTTTACAGGCTCTGTTTTATAAACTTATTATTGTCTCTTCTTCCTCATAATGGAAATATGATGGTAATTTGAATTCTCACCTTAATTCTTAAACAATGAAGTGTACTTTCTCTAAACAAAAAAGATAGTTTATAATTGGTGGGACATAGGCTAATGGCTTWAAACTGAAAGAGGGTAGATTGACATTAGATATAAGAAAAGAAATTTTCTGTGAGGGTGATGAGACTGGTTAAGGTTGCCCAGAGAAGAACAGGTTTCCCAGCAAATTGTGAGCTACTCCCCCATCCGTGGAAGTGTTCAAGGTCAGGTTGAATGGAGCGTTCAGCAAAGGTCTAGTGGAAGGTGTCTTTGTCTGTGGCAGAGAAKGTGGAATTACAGGATCTTTAAAGGTCCCTTTCAACCCAAACTATTCTATGATTGTAATGTCCCACCTAAGCATGCTCTTTTCTGAGCAGGTGGTGTTGGGGACGACGTCTAAATATATCTTAGAACTATTACATATTCTTACTTTCAGGAATTACCTCACCTCAGTTCTTTTTTTTTTTTTGTCTGCCTTTTTCTTTTTTTTTTTTTTTTTTTTTTTTTTTTTTTTTTTTTTTTTTTTTTTTTTTTCTTTTTTTTTTTTTTTTAGTTTTTTTCACCTACTATAAAAATTAAGTAGTTTTGTAGAGTGTATTCTATATAGTGGTTGCGTTGGTCTGTCCAGCTTGTGGATTTCACAAATGTGAAATATTAATTGAATTCATTCTACTGCTGAAAAAAGAGGTTTGCGTTTGCTGCAACCTTCATTCACTTTCGTAGCATAGCCTAATCTGTCAGTGTCACACTGGCAGCCTCTTTAACATTTGTAGCTAATTCTGCAAAAACAAATTATTTCAACAGATTGTTTGCAGGATACATGTAGGTATAGCTGGGACTCCTTGGAAATTCTTGTTGATGAGATGAGATAAGAAAGGGACTCTAGAMTTTTAAACTGTTCCTCACAGTTTGTGATGTGAAAAAGAATCAAGAAGTTACCTTTGAAAGTTGATCACAGTTACTCATAGCTCCTTGCATTCCCTGTTCTGAAAAATGGGATCATAGAGCCCAGCAATAAAAGGTGTTTCGATGTGGACTTAATTCTACAGTCAACAAACTACAGTCTGCTCATGGTAAAGCCTTGCTAGTGTCTTAGGTTTTGTATCTTGGAAKGACAATCCACTTACTCACCTGTAAATCAGCACAGCTGTCTAGTGGGGTCTGGACACCTGGGTGAAATACTCTGGAACTCATATTGAGGGTGATGATGAGATATTGCTGTGAATGTTAACATTCATGTAAATGAATACAGAAAGCTAGTTTGGCAGCCTATCAGAAGAGGTAAACAGCAGATGCTGAGTTGTGTCTGTATTCTTTACTTTCTTTGAATATTTTAATAGGAAGCAGTAGCTACAGTAGCTACCTGTGTGGATGGTGGCCATGAAAGAAGGCAGTGTGATTCACTGCCTTCATCAGGTTTGTAAAAGTTGTGCATTATTGCATATTCATGTGCATGGGACTATTTAAAAGCTGCAAGTGAAGACATTCTTTTTCCAACTGTCATAGCTACCAAGTGTTGAAATATCAGGAGTCATTTTGGGATACGCCTATTTTCTGCTGTTCTGCTCTCTGAAGGCTTTTGATGACACTCTAGCAAGGGTGGAAAGGTTTAACCAGCCCCAGGCAAATGCAGAGTAAGTGGCGCTCATTCAGAAACCTCTGAAGACTTGCCAGAATTGCCTCATGACCAGATTTACCTGTAAGAAGCCAGAGCCCTTTCATTGTTGCTTATTATGGACTGTATAATAATTGAAAAATTGAAGGGTACATCTCACTATCAAGTGATATGTCAAAGTGGATAGAATGTCCAWAATTTGATGAGCCAGGTATAGAAATAATATTGAATCTGTTGGGATGTTGGCTAGAAATGTTCATTTCACAGTACACAAATTATCCTTTTTTTTCATTTTGAAGTGGCAGGGGTGAAGGAGAGGGTTCAACTAGAATTTGAGGTACCATAACTTTGTACATTTGGAGAGGAATTGAGCTTTGATTAAAATTGATAGGAAAAAGTAGCTCAATTATCATGGAAGAGAAATCTTGACAATGGAACAAGCATATCAGTAGCGTTTTAAAGTTTAGGAAAGGCCAAATTGTCATGAGAGAAGCAGAGAAGGTGTAGTTTGTTGATTTTATGTGGACRATAGGCTTGCCTCTCATAAATCATAGTTCCATTTTTCTTCTCCCAGTGTAAAATATTGCATACACAAGAAGGGGAACATGACATCAGTTGAGGAAGTGCTGCATGCTCTGTATTAATGGCCTGGAATGTTGATAGTTAAAGGTGTGGATAGTGTTCATGCCCTTCATGTTTCGCAGCTTGCAGCGGTAATTTCATATGTTATGCCCATAATGACAAAAGATTCTGAAGGTACATTGAAAATTCCCTCAGGATGTTCCCCCTTGTTCAACGTGCCCCAAGTGCTGTGTTGGTTTTCTAAATGCATGTGTTGCCATGGCTTCACAAACAGTAGCTTCTCTAGAGCATGTAGCAACTCTTAGTGCAAACCTAAAGAGGTCCTATGGAAAATGTACCCTTCTAAGGCTGATTTTATCTATTTCACAATTGCAAAGCAATTTTTGTGTTCTAGATCAGGAGCAGTAGCTYGAAAGTAAAAAACAAATTACTTTGTTTCCTGTAGGTRTGTCCAGATAATAGCAGGTATTTTTAAGAGCCAGATGGTGTAGCTTGGTAATTTCTGCTGGGATTTGTTTCTTAAAGGTAACTGAAGTTAAAAACAAAGAAAATACAAAAGAAACAAAAAACCCTACCTACCTTGTTATAGCCAGACAGGCATTTCATAGTCTGCATATTGCACATCATGGTAATGTGGTATATATCCAATGAAAATATAGAATAAGGTGAATATCCAAGCTAAGTGATGTAGCAAAACCCCCACAATATCCAATTAAAGTGTTCGAGGAAAGGTCAGACACCACTTCAAGCAATTTGGTTTAGTTGAATATTCCTTCCCTAAAACAGGGGCCTGGACTATATCTTATTCCAAGCCAAAATGTTCTTTGATTACATGAAGAGAAAAGAAAAAAAGACTAGAGGACCACCACTAAGATAAGCATTTAGTAAAGGACAGAAAAGGTCTTGTTACAAAGACAAAAATATCAAGTAGGTAGTGAAAGAGTTTATGTTAAAGCATGTGAAAAYCATCACAAAGGAAATAAAGAGAATATTTCATTGTTGTTTAGCAGTTCTTTTCCTACCAGAAGCTGAAAAGATCAGGCCCAGAAGGGCTTAGAGTTCCCATGTAGGACCACCGAAGAGGATGCTGTTTTAATTAGCGTAAGCTTGGGCCTTGATTCCAAACAGTGATCTGATGGGACAGTTATGACAATACTGACTTGCTCCRTCCTCTAACCCACCAGTGGCATTGCCTGTCCCTGAAGACAGGGTGCACAAAGGAGCCCAAAAGTAGTTGCTGCACTACTCCCAGAAAATACTTACTTTGTTTCTTTAGCTAATTGTTAAAGCCTAATGAGGGGGCACTCGTTGCTGCGGCTGCTAGTAGGAAAGTGGCTCTTTCCTGTTTGGCAATAACTCAGCTTCTTAGTGACAGTAAACCTGTGATTTAGCGTGGTGATGAGGCAAAAATTTGTGAGTTCTCCGATTGATACTGTGTCAGGAAGCATATGCAAACACAGGTACATGTAGTTCTATGTCAAAATTGCTCTTTAAATTCCATCTGCTTTCCAGGCAGGTAACCTTTAAGTGTGTGAAAATAAAGTATTAATTTGGTCTTGAAAGGAATTGAAAACTCAATTGCTCTGGGAAAGAGAAAGATAGTGTAGTCAGCCTTTAAACTGCAGAAAATACCTATCAAATTTTGTACCAGATTCTGCCCAGAATAACTTGTAACTTAGCAAGAGTGCTTTTTCTGAAAAGGTACATCTATGCATAGCTACTTTCAAGGTTTTGTTCCAAGGTCCTTTTTGGTGATAATGGCTTAAAAAAAAAAAATCCCTGAAGCTAAAAGCTTCRTTACCTTCATTACCATCATTACCATCACCCCCAAACTGAAGGCCTGTCTGTGCTGACACAAGTTATCTAAGATTACTTGAGTGGACAGCAGTGTTCATATTAGTCCTGTTATCAACATAATGAGCTTTCAAAGATAGCAACAATTTTTACAGCATGTCTTTGACCTCTTGTAACCAGAAGAACTACTTGAAGCATATGACTCTGTAAGTGTCACGTTCCCCAAATGGCCTGTACTTACAAGGCACTGATTAAGAGAACAATGTTACTGCCACTTTTTCTCTTGATCAGACATTCCTCCTTTGGGAGACCAAGTGTATAGTCAACTGATAATTTGATAGAAAACTTCTTGGAGCTTAATAGGTATTTATGGGTCTATCTAAAAGAGTAGACAATTTTTATCAGTACGGAACTTAGCAACAGTTACTTTTTCAAGATTTTTTCTGATTCAGGTTGATAAAAGTGATACTTTTAAGAGATAGCAACAGAGGGACAGTTGGGCTCTTTCTTTTTTGGAAACATTTCAGAAACCTGTTGTGTCAGGCTTGTATGGCCAAGCTTTGGTAGCAGGGGGTCTACAGGGGTGCCTTCTGTGAGAATCTGCCAAAGGCTTCTTCCATGTCTGGCAGAACCAATCCCTGCCAGCTCCAAAGATGGATGTGCCACTGGCCAAGGCTGAGCCAATCAGAAATGATGGTAGTGTCTCTGTGATATTTAGGAAGAAAAAAACAAAATCATTGTGCAGCTATAATTGTTGCTGGAGAAGATGGAGTGAGAACATGTGAGAGGAACAGCTCTAGAGATGTTAAGGTCAGTGGAGAAGGAGAGGCAGGATGTGCTCCAGGCATTGGAGCCRAGATTCCCCTGCAACCTGTGATGCAGCCCTTGGTGAGGCAGCTGTGCCCCTGCAGCCCATGGAGTCCATGGGGATGCAGAGATCCACCTGCAGCCTGTGGGGGAGTCCATGTCAGAGCAGAGGGATGCCTGAGGAATGAATGTCTGTGACCCCATGGGAGACCTGTGGAGAGAGGAGCCCACACTGGAGCAGCCTGTCCTTGAAGGACTGCACCCCATGGAAGAGTGACCCATGTGGCAGCAGTTTGAGGGGACTGTTGCCTGTGGGATAGGCTCAGAATGAGAAGTTCATGGAGAACTGTCTCCTGTGAGAGGGACCCCATGGTGCACCAGGACTCTTCTCCCTTAGCTGAGTGAGAAAGAYCATGGGATGAACTGACCACAACMCCCAYTCCCTGTCTCCCTGCACTGCTGGGGAGGAGGTGGAGCTAGAAAGGAGAGGGCATGGGGGAAGGTGTTTTTAAGGTCTGTTTGACTTCTCATTATCCTGCTCTGATTTTGTTAGTAATAAATTCAATTAATAACTCTGATTCTAGCTGGTTTTGCCCATGATGGTATTTGATGAGGGTTCTCTCCCAGTCCTTATCTCAACCCATGAACCCTTTGTTAAATTTTCTCTCCCCTGTCCCGCTACAGAGGGGAGTGAGAGAGCTATACTGGTGTGTGCCTGGCATCCAGCCAGGGTCAGCCCACTATACTTGTACAAAAGGAGAGGGAAGACTAAAAACATCAGCTGTTAATCTCTGTTAACCAAGCTGCTTAGAGTTTGTTTTTTGGGAGGAGGGGGGTTTATTATTTAGGTTTTTTTCCCTCTTCAAGCCAGAATATTCAGAAGTCTTCTTTGAACCACCACTTCAACTTATTGACCTCATTATTTCAGTTTACAGATTGCAAAACATATAGTTTCTGATGGGCACTGTGTGACAATCTACTAGACTGTGATGGAGAAAGGATTACTTTAATCCAGATATAGTAAATGCTTTTCTTGTCTTATTTTTTGTAGACATCATTTATCTATCTTTAGGCTGAAAGAATTTGATAAAAAAAAATAGGGGAAAGAATAATGAGAGGAGAATATATGTTCCAAAATACACCTTAAAGTTGTGATTTAAATTCCTGTGCAATGCCCATATATTGTAAAACTCAATATCCAAGGAGATAAGAGTGTGATAATCGACAAGGTTTATGATTTGAAAACTGTTATATCAAATGTACTGTGTGAACTGCATGCCATAGAAATGATGCAAAGTGTCAGATGTTAATGCAAGTTTTGATCAGATTGTATGGGAAGGAGGGAATCCATACTGTACTTTCAGAATGGACAAATTGTAAAAGGATAGGTGCTGAGCTGTTCTCAGGTGTTTCAGAAGAGATGCAGAAATGGTAARGACCACAGATTTGCTTTGGTTTCAAAGCTTTAATTTATTGTATTTTTGCGTGTTGGAGTTCTGAAAAAATCTTGTTAATGCTTGAAATTTCTTCTTCTTTGAGAGCTGTTTTGAGATGGAGGACCTGGTAGTAGTTCCAGGTTGGTGATCGAGTGTTTTAGGCATCCTAGTTTTATCACGATGTAATTACAGCTCGAAACTTTTTCTAGGAAACACTGATAGTAATTAAATAGTCATGATACAGTATTCCTGTGTCAGACAGAGACTGTCTCTGCTAATACTTTAATAGTTTTTACGTTTCACTCTATCAGAACCCAATTTAAATAAACAGATTAATATTAAATAGACAATGTTWGATGTGAACAGTGGATTTTAAACCAATTTAGCAAGTTACTGACATGCCTAATGAATTCTGCCACTAGTACGTAACAGGTAATACTACAATCCTGAAATCTTCRTAGATACGTAATTTTTTATTAACTGTATAATATACTGATGCAGCTTAGGGGAGGTTTTTCTGGCTTATTGAAAAGTACTTGAGGGTTTGGGGGCAGCTGTTTTGTTGGTTGGTACACATGAAACATCTTTTTTCTTAATGTTCCTGAGTTTGAGTCTTTCAGACTTTACTGATTTTAGTGTTTGATTACCTATACAGTTACATTACTGTGCAGTTACTTACCTATGTTTATACGGTATTGGAGAATTTCTCATTACTTCTGCTCCCTTGATGATTGTACTGGAGGTATGCAAAATGCACTGATTTGATAAGTTCAATATGGGTATGGGTGTTGTTACATAGTGTTGACAGAGAAGGTGCATGTGTTTATTGCAGATGAGGGAACAGGTATACTTTCCTGCACTTGATTTTAACTTCATTTAGGGTTAGAGTGGCAAATATCAAGCTTACCTCATCCTGTTCCACAGTGATGTTAGGCTAGGCTGTGTATAGATTTTTCATAATGCATGAGACAAATTATTTGGGTTTGGGGTTTTGGGCTTTTTTTGGTGGTGATAGGGAGGAGTTGGTTTGTTTGGCGGTTTTTTGGGGAGGGCGGTTATTCCTGGGTTTGGAGTTTTTTTGTGTACAGCGTTTTCTYGGGTTTGTTTTTAATGTGATGTGATATCCCTTCCTATTCAAGGTAGTTCCTTTTCCAAGGAATATAGTGTTGCACTCTGACTTGTGCTAAGATTACCTGGTTAGTACAGGGCAATGTGTCAGCAGCTCAGTTCTGTTGCGGGCACTGTTCCTGGACACATTGCCGTTCACCTTACAGGCTTTCCCCATGTTATCTGGGTAGCAATTCCTCTTTCTATTCACACTAATTCAGTGAAATACATTCAGTCTGACTTGTGTAAATGTTAACTAGATAATTCTTTTGTTTACCCCTGTTAATTGCATCTTACTAGGAGGGAGGATTTGACTTCAATTCTATATTCCCTGTTGGGCTGTCTTTCTTGTGGATTAGGTTGATAAGAATAGGCATCTTGGCTGTTACATGGATTGCACAATATTATTATACTGACTTCTGTCAGTATGCGCATGCTTTAAGTCTCACTGAATTTATTAACTATTACCAGCTTGCATTGTTCATCAAGTATGAGAAGAATAAAGTTGATCAAATATTTGCAGGCTTGATTGTCCTTCATTTGATAATAACCAGATATAGTAAGACTCTAATCAGTTTTGTGTTTTAGGTTCACTGGCATTAATCGTAAAGACTTCAAACTAGTATACACGTCACACTACATTCACAAATCCGTATTTTAAAAAAATTCAATATCATTCAGGCATAAGGAAAAGAATTACTGCAAATAGAGGGTAAATAACTGTGTGTTTTAGTCAGGAATGTCATAGAACAGACTTGCTTGTTCTTCAACCAGCTCCTGTTAAATAATTTATTCYCTTCTGAAGGTTTTCGTCATCAGAAATTCTTATTTTGCCTTGCTCTGTAGGTTTATTAGTTTCACTTTATATGTTATATATATAAAATACTGTTATATTCACAGCTACTTTTTTAACGTATTTTATTTTCTAGGTATGGAATCCGCCCTGAAAATGTGATTATATATGGCCAGAGTATAGGAACTGTACCATCTGTGGATCTTGCTGCTAGGTATGAAAGTGCTGCTGTAATTCTTCATTCTCCACTGACCTCAGGAATGCGAGTAGCTTTTCCTGATACGAAGAAGACGTACTGCTTTGATGCATTCCCAAAGTAAGTTGTAGGATTTTTTTTTTTTATTCAGCATGCATTTTTCTCTATTGCATAAGTTTTCAACTAGAGAAAAAAGTAGTCTGGCAAATTCTCTGGAATTTGTTTCAAAGATTTAATAAAATATTTGGAGAAAAATCAGTGAATAACATCAAAGAGGAACATTTGATTTGAAGAAGTTTACAGAACTTTGTAAACCTTCTAGGTACTTTAGATCCCTAAACATTTTTGTGGATATCTGCAAAGAAGTAATTAATTTTCCTATACATAACACATAAATCCCTAGTTCTAAAAAGCAGTTCTATCCAGTGAGTCTTAGTCTGGATTATTGTGAATAAAGTCTTTTATAATATGTTTCTGTAAGACTGGAAAACTAAGTAGATCTTAACTGAAGAAAATTCCTGTCATGTATTTCAGAACTGTGCCATTGTTTTCATAGTTACAATCTTTTTCTTACAGCATTGATAAAATTTCTAAAATAACATCTCCTGTTTTAATAATCCATGGAACTGAAGATGAAGTAATTGACTTTTCACATGGCCTAGCATTATTTGAGCGTTGCCAGAGACCTGTAGAACCACTGTGGGTAGAAGGAGCGGGCCATAATGATGTGGAACTCTATGGACAATACCTTGAAAGATTAAAAAAGTTTGTGTCACAGGAACTGGTGAACTTGTAACTTCCGTTGTTTATTTACATGTTTTTTTCATTTCACTGCAGAACTGCACACCTTGATAAATATGTAACTTAAAACCTGAATGTTGTGTTCTCAAATCATTTTGGTTGCCTTCATTAAATACACAGGTAATGATTTGTCAACATAATTAATGAAGGTTTTAATGCCAGCATTATGAACTGGGATTACATGACCATACAGTCAGACTTGGCAGTCCATATTTCTTTGTGTGAGATTTTTTCTTCTGAGATCTGAAGAAAAAAAATCACAAGAAGTACTGTAAGAAAATTTAATTACATAAAACCAAATGCTGTAAGTGTTGCCAAGTGCTTTAGCATATCAAAAACAAGTTTATAAATATTTTTTAAACATCTCAAAGTGTACTGTGACTTACTTTGTTGCACAGGTGTAACTAAAGAACAGAATTCTAAGGAGTTGTTCTGTAAAAATGTAATAGCCATTAATTTTGAGCAAATACTAATGTATGTAATAGAATAAACAGTCACTGGAAATTACCTATGCTGTGTTATAGGAAGATGGGGATAAAATAGATACCTTTTACCATATTTTTCATTTCTTTTGTGCTTAGTTTTATTTTAGTTGTTTTTTACTCATGTTGTCCCTTAGCTTTCAGAATAATAAAATGTACCCACTTGTGTTCTCAGGAGTCCTAATCTTGCCAAAATAACACCACAAGTTATCATTGTTGTAATGCAGGTATCATTCACATCATTGCTACTGAGGCCACAATATACCTCTTTGAAACCAGTAAGACTTTTAAAACCTAGAAGACTTCTTGAACCATGTAGTTTTAAACACTGATTGTCTAGAGACACACTATGTCATTAAGAAGAACTTTGAAGTTTATCCAATCCTGTAATAAACAGTTTGCAAGTTTGCAGTTGTCTGATCATGTTTAGTTTTGGATGTTTAGTGTAAAAACCTACTGTTTCTTGAGTATTGTATGGAAATTTTACTAATCAGGCCTGGGTGGGGTGGGAGGAGTGGCAGGAAGAGAATATTGACATTTTTCTGTTAACTCAAAGTCAAATAAACATTCCCTTGAAAATGTGTTTCCCTTGAATGCATTTTGTGTGGATAAAACTATGAAAGATAAACTTAATTACATGAAGTCTAATTGTAAACAAAATACTCCAACAATACACACTGTGCTTCTAAGGCCTTATGTAATTTAATTGTTCTGCTTGTTTTATGTGCTTGAGACTATTGTATACTTAAATGTAGCTTTGAATATTGTGAACACTTTGGTTAAGATGTGTTGATTAATAGTAAACAGTATTCCGCAAACTTGTAGTTCTTCCTTTTTTTTTTCTTCAAAGAAATCACAACAATTGCTTACAGTATCAAAAGACTTGGCAATTTCCCATTTATTCTAGGAAATCTGACATCTGAAGCATTAATGCATTGCTATGAATTGCTAGCACATTTCTTTATCAGCAGCTACTGTTCTATCACCCTCCCACCCCCATGCCTGACTTTAGTTCTATTAGCCATTTAGCATACAGACTTTCTGCGGCAAAGCTACTTGCAAACTTCTTTCTATAGTGAGTTCTACTATTGCCTTCTTTGAAATGAAAAGGGTTTCTCATCTTGTGCACTTTGGTGAGTTAATTGAGAAGAAAAAAAATTTGTTTTCAAGCAACCAKGTTCTTGTTTGTTTTTTTGGTCAAGTATGCTTCATTGAATTCCAAAATTCAGAGTATATTCAGGAACAATAAAATTAGATTTAAGGATTTTCATCCCAAGACTTTCAGATACAGGTGTGTAACTCGGCTTCATTACATCATATTTAGGTGCMTAGTTTGATTTCCTTTTCTTACTACCTTGCAGCCATTATCTTTGTTGTAGATGGAAATCACTACTATTTAATGTTTAAGTATTTTCTCTGTGATGAATGAAGCCTCTTTGGAGATTCCCCTTCATGAATTCACAAATAAAGAGTGTTGAAGTGCAATGTTAAGTGATACGGATTGGCTGTAYTTTGGTTGCTGCATATTGCAGGCAAATAATCAACTGTCGTGACAGGAACTGATTGTGACAGGGAGTATTATGGCAAGCTGTAACTGAAAAAGACAGAAAAGCAGCTTTGATGCTTTTGTTTCTGTGTTTTGTCAGTCAGTCTTCAGTATGTGCAGCTGTGTTGGATTACAGTGGTGAGTAGARATTCTGGTCTCTTGCACCATTTAGGCATGTTTAATAATTTCCAGTTTATTCTGATTTATATTTTACACTTGTATTTTTTCAGGTGAGTTGTATTACTTGAAGGAATTAAAACAAGTTTTAGGCACAGCCTAGCTTGTGTTGCAGACTGTTTTGGCAGCATACTTGTTACTGACAGAAAGCAACGCTGAGCTGTTGCAGTGATGAGGAAAACATTTGACATCCTGATTGTCTTATCCTTTTGCCATCGTTTTAGTGAAATTGACAGTGGGCTGTTGTTTAATGTTATAGATGCAATTGTCTTCTGATAAACAAGAGTTGATTCAGCATTCATTGAAAAGACAATGTCTGTGTGTTAGGGAAAAAGAAGAGCGGTTTGTGAAACTCGTGTTGTCATTCTGGGTTTGTTTTTCATGCTTTAAGAGATGTATTTAACGGTAAACTGTCTTGATTTCAGTTCTGGGAATCTTGGCAAATCAACTTTGAAAACAACTTCATACATGAAAAATACAAGATTACCTTCTAAGAATGGGGTCTCTTTGTGACATGTTCTGCTGTTATATTTACAGCTATGTGAAACTCCCCAAACTCCCCTCTCTTTACTGTCTGCTTCTGGCAGCAAAGAATTTATCTTAAAGTCAAAAATAAGGAAAATAGTGTGTAAGTAGGGGGCTGATTGTTTGAAAACTGTGAAAAAGCAGGTGGGGGGGACCCTAGTGGACTACAAGCTGCCCATGAGCCAGCAATACACCTGTACACCAAAGGCGACCAAAGGCTTCATAGGCTGAGATTTGCCAGCAGGTCAGGGGACGTGATCCTGCCCTCTGCTCTGCACTGTGAGTGCAAATGTGTATGAAGTGCTGGGTCTAGGTCTGCATTCTTCCGTAAGGAAGATACGGATGTACTGGAGCAAGTCCAGTGCAGCTATGGCTGAAGGGCTGGAGCATCCATGATTGGAGGAGATGCTGGGGATGTTCATCCTGGGGAGGAAAAGGTTTGGCAGATATTAAGTGTTGTGTGTGAGTATCTTGGAGCGGGAGTGGGGAGAGCTGGATACTCCCCATACTGCCCACTGAGAGGGCAATCTGAAATTGGAAAGCAATTTTTTTTTTTTTTTTTTTTTTTTTTTTTTTGTGAGTAAGATCAAGTGCTGGGACTGACTGTGGAGTTCTCATCTTTACACATAGTCAGAACTCAGCTATACGCAGCTCTAGGCAAACAGCTACAGCAGACCCTGCTCKGAGCACACGAGTCAGACCAGATGGTCTCAAGGGTTCCTTTCAGCCTCTGTCAGTCTGTGCACACCAGCTCAGAAGTGGCGACTGTTTAGTTAAAAGAATCACCTTCATTTGGTGTTCCCTACTTTTGCTGCTTAATTTTTAAGCAGCAGCAACACTGAATACCTCTGTGGAAAGAGCCCTTTTTCTTTTAGTCCTGACACCATCACTCTTCAATGCGCTGCTGCTGAGGCAGACTCATACCAAATTTTATACCACAGACTGTCATCAGAGATCACAGATTGCTACAGTGTACTACAAAAGGAAGGTTGAAAAGCTAGAAGCAAAATATAAACATGCTATCTGGAAAAGAGAAAAAGTGCTTGAAAGATACCTTAAACACCATCAAAGATGGAAATGTTGCTTTGACAACCACTATTATGTTATGAGATTGGCAAGCAACGGAGACAATGAAGATAGGGTTCTTTTGGGTTATTTCAATAAAGTTGGATAATAAGGTTAATTCTACTTCACTTGAATAGTGTTTGTAAAACAAAAATAAAAAATTTGGGGGAAGTCTGTCATGAGCTAGTAACTGTCAGGTTTCACTCACAGAATAATTCACAATCAGATAATTCTGATTGTTGAAAGTTAATGTGAAAACCCATTCAGCTTAAGTACCACTAGATTGAAAGATAAGCATGATACAACCTTACAACTGTTGACATATAGAACTTCATAAGCAATCTGAGTTGTGAGATTATTAATTGTAAAATAGCCATACGTTTCCGTAATAAATGCTATCGTATKATGATAATAATTTGTGACGTATATCTTCACTTTTTAATTTCTCAGTTGTTTTCTTTCTGTGAAAGGAAATAAAATACTAACAAACATCAGGTAACATGCTAAGGAAAATRCTTTAAAAAAGAAGACAATGTAGAAGAAGTTGTCTTAAAAACATATTACTCTTCCATGAGTAAGGGCCAACAGTAAAAAATTTTCTCAGCATCAGCTTTTACCCAGAGGTAGTAGTAAGGTGTCTTAGTCTAATAATGTATTTCAAAATAATGAGAAAACCTCAAATGGTTTTGTTGCTTAGAAGAGGTTTTGTGGTTGGTAAAGGAGACATCGTAGAAAAAGTTGTTAGTGTTTAATTTTCAAATTTTTTTTGCTTGAAAAAGGCAAATAGTTTTCTAACCCTCAATGAGCACTGCAGAGAAGACATGAAAGATGTTGATGAGATCGTAAATATACTTTCATCTTAGGCTAGAAGCTGTGTGCGCCTCAAGCAGGTAATTGTGCCTTGTCTCCTCGAGCACTGGGTATATCCATGTGAATGTAATTAGGCTGTCATACATTCCTTATTTCCAAAGCCACAAAGGTTTTTGCCTGAAGTTGTCTTCTGGAGTCAGGTAAATGGTGGATTGACTAAAATTCTAAAACTGAGCTTATGCCAAAGATCCAAATAAGTCTTAAGCTAGAACAGCATTTCAGGCCATTTGATCAGTAACTCATCGAGTAGMTCAAGGGCACATAATGGCACTGCAAGTCTTTCTCCAGCACCTTAAGTATTGCAAAAGTGCTTAGTTGAGCAACTCATCTGCTTTTAGAGGTCATGCAGTCTAAGTGCACTTTAAATGTAAATGTTGTAAGGCATTCTAAGGAGAACGAGGAGTGTGTGGATAAAAATCACCAGCAGCTTTGTGAGGGCATTACTGATTTTGGAGACACATATGATGCATTCGGAATTTGCCCCAAGTATTTATTAAAATAAGTTTGCTTGTTCCGTTTGGTAGACGCTGCATACTCTTTGGAACAGGAACAGAACTATCTGGTCTCTGGTTTAAAACGGCCGTCAGGGTGGTGCTGTTTTGTTATATTGATGGCAATGTTTTGATTCATTAGAAACACATTCACAAAAGATTTGGGTGATAATATATAAGTACTAATGAYGCATTGTGGCTTTCAGACCTTTCTATTTACCTCTTTATTTTCTTTCTGGCTAAACCTGCAGTGTGCAGCACAGAGAAAGGCAGAGTATTGCATGCCTTACTTAGGAGAGTTCTGTTTGTATTGTAGTGTCATTTATAGTTAGCAACAAGATTTAATAAAAGTTGCTCCCTGTCAGAGGTTTTTTGGCTGCCAAAGTGGTGGAACACAAACCACATGTTGGAACCAGAACAGGAGGGTAGACAAAGAATGCAGCTTTGAAAAAATGTGTGAGTTCGTTTTCTGCTGTATTTGTAGAACCCAGTGCTCTCTGCCCATCTTAGCAGGTGTGTGATAAATAATGTGTCATTATGTTACTTATGATTCCTAAACAAAGAATGTGTGTCTTGGTTTAAGACCATTTGGAGGAGAACGCTCTGCAATGAATTGCCTCTCTGTAGGTTCAACCAATCCCTTTCCACCAATAAGGAATGAACACAAGTAGATGCGAGTGAAAAAGTAACAGATAATTAACAATGGGGACAGCAACAATCAAGCAATAACAGCAAATAACCACCAGATCCAAAACTGCAAAACCTCTCAGACTCCACAAAACAGAGACCCAAAATGCCAGAAACACCTCGCAGGATGACACTCCACAGCCGAGTGTGTGGTTCAAAGGACAAAAAGGAAAGGTGGTGTCAGTCTTATCCCATTGTCCCCCTCCACTCTGCTTTCC